TAAATAGAAATGGAAAACTCTGCTTCTCATTCTGTTTTCGATATAATGCTTTCTTTTACTTGTTGGTCACCATATGCCAATAGCAGTTAAAAACATATAGTCAGCAATTATTCATCCAAAATTTTAGAAAAAAGTACAAAAAAACGACATTTTTCCGATATTTTGCAGTTCGTCTATTTTTAAACATGTGTTACTATTAATAGAAATGGAAACCACTGCTTCTCATTTTGTATTTGATATAAGACTTTCTTTAACTTGTTGGTCACCATATGCCAATAGCAGTTAAAAACAGATAGTCAGCAATTATTCATCCAAAATTTTAGAAAAAAGTACAAAAAAACGACATTTTCCCGATATTTCGCATTACGTCTATTTTTAAACATGTGTTACTATAAATAGAAATGGAAACCTCTGCTTATCATGCTGCATTCCATTGAATGTTCTTTTGTTCTTGTCAGTCACATAATATCAGTTACATTTAATGACAGTAAGTCGGTAAATTTCCAATCTCTAATTTGAGAATTGGTGGAAAATCAACATTAAACAGTTAATTTCATAGGTGTCTATTTTTAGACATTTGTACTATTTATAGAGATGAGAGCCTGTCCTCAATAATTTGTGAGATATTATACTATTCCTTGTTTTTAGTGATGAAATATTGGAGAGATCCATATTTTTTATTATTTATGATTCAGTGGAGCTCTAATATGATGGAAAATTGACATTTTTCGTCATTTTATGAAACATGTCTATATTTAGGCATTTGAAGCTATAAATAGAAAACGGAAATCCCTGAAAATAAAATGCATGGTAGTTATTGGTGTCCAGTCTCTGACATTAGCATATTGACTTTTACAATATATTTCATAATTACCTAGCAATGGCATCTTAAACTCTGCCCAAATTTCATTTTTTGGATTTTTTTGAAATATGTCTATTTTTAGATACATGTTACTAAAAATAGCATTGAGATCCCACTCCAATTTTTTCATGAGGGGACATTACTAATACTGACGTTTGACGGCACATATATGATTTGAAAAATTTCCGTAGACAATTTTTTTAATTTAACCTTAAATTTCTCAAAAAATGCCAAATTTTCCATTTTTCACATTTTGAGAAACTATGCTATTTTGCAGAACCGTTTTCTAAGAGTGGGGTCAATTCTGGAATAACTGGTTATATGCCCTGTATTCTTTAACAGTTGATGTTTTCTTATGATACAAAGATTTATATTTGAGTTCACTACATAAAGATAAAAATGCATTCATATTTCCTCAATTTTCATGTTTTTGTTTGGTCAAAAATGGCCGAAAATGGCCAAATTCAATGGATCCGTCTCCATGGCAACCGGGTGCACGTGGGAAACTTCTAACACCATATTTGCTGGTTTTGTACCAAGGTGCACCTGTGGTGCAAATTTCATCAAAATCGGAGATATGTCGTTTCCAAGCCCTATAGTAAATTTTTTGGTGCTTACAGAGAATGCATGTTAAATGGCTACTATATCTCCTTTGTTTTTTGACGAAACGCTTTGAAGTTTAAAACATTGTCATGCATTAGGATATCCTAAAATACGATATAGAAAAAAATTCATGAAATCACACGCATGCACGTGTGCTGCAGTCTGATTGGCTGAAACTTTATATGGCTATATCTCCTTTGTTTTTCGACGAAATGTTTGGAATTTTAAAATATAGTCATTCATTTAGATATCCTTCAATACGGTAAAGATAAAAATATATGAAATCACGCGCATGCGTGTGTGCTGCAATCTGATTGGCTGAAACTTCAAATGGCTATAACTCCCTTGTTTTTCAACCAAACAGGATGGGATTTAGAACATAGATAAATATAAGGGACTCCTACAAGAAGTCAATATGCACGTGCGTGCACGTGAAATCAGTAAAATTAAAAGTACACTCGAATGAGTGTATTTTTTTAATACTTTTGGATTAAATGCTTTGATATTAAGTATATTAAAATTTAAGATAGTGTTGTCAAGATTATATGGTCGTTACGCACAAGAACACGCGTGCAATGCCTAATTTTAAATATATTTTGATTTTTTTCTGGGAAGACCTTGATTAAGTCTAAATTCCATTAAGTATTTCTTATTTAATAGAAATTACAGGGAATAAGGCACCAAAAGGGAGTTGGGGAGCGTTTGGGGAACATCTGTAACGGTCCCCGTTACAATTAGCACTAGTTTTTTTTTCTTTTGTATTCACCTTGGATAGCTTCTTGTTATCATTGCTATGGAATACCGACATTTTTATGTGAACATTATTCAATACCGATGAAATGCAACTCTGTTGATCAAATAAATTGGTTAACAATCGAGATGGTTCCAGAACATTGGACAGAAGGTTTTTATTTGATATATATTACCTTAGGGTCATAAAGTCTTTTTATAATGACTTCTGCAGTGAAAAAGAAAATACTCACCAGAGAGAATTGATTGTATATTTGTTATACAATTCCCTCTATTGGTCATATTGAAAGCAGTAACTTTATATTCATTGTAATATGATTTGGTTAGGAGAGACGTACAAGGAGTCCTTGTTTTCATTTGTTCGTATCGACTCCCTCAGAAGGTGACAGAGTTTTATTCTGCTAAAATTCCCAAGATGAGGGCAGTCATCGTTGCAAGCAATGAGATTAAATCATTTTTGATCATGAGATGTAAAAAAAAATTAAACATAAAACGTTCACCAAAATACTACAAGTATTTATTAAACATTTTAATTTTAACATTCTTTATAATTAATATAAGAGATGGTCAACAAATTGCTTAGTCTGGTAATTTTATACCCCGCTTGAAAAGTGGGAAGGTATATAGTCGGTATTTCCGTCCGTCCGTCCGTTTGTTACGCTTTGGGGTACCCATCTCTTATCCGCAAATCCTCTCAAACCACTGAAGGAAATTTGATGAAACTTTCACAGAATCATCACTACATATTGCCATTGTGAACCTTCTATTTTACTTTTTGATCTGACATATATTTTGGATTTTCCAGAGGAAAACATGGATACTGCTATTATATTCATATGGGAGGCGGGGGGGGGGGGTATTATTTAGTGAGCTCATTGCTCAGAGTACCTCTATTTTTTGTGAATTGAAATATGTGCATTTTATAACTAAGTGTAGCAAACTTATTCTAACATTATTTTATCGTATATTATGTTTATGCTTTTTACAAGTTAATGCATATATTTCTTTCCCAAATACTGGAAAGAATAAATATTGAAATTTACTAGCAAGCTTTTTTTAATTACAGTTGAAGCATGATAAGTTAAGAAAACAAGCAACCATTGAAATAGTAAAATACAGATATCCGTAGATGTGGTATTCTATAGAAAAAAAATTCACTGCATCATTTTTTTTTTCAGATGTGCTACTGAACTGGAATGCCGACACGACTAGTGGGATAGGACATCAGACAGACAGCAATGTATAGCATACGATCCAAACTCTATCACAACGACTCATTTAGAATGCTCCTTTTGCTGCACCACCCCTAATTGTAACAAAAACATTGTTCAAGATGACTTATTTGACCACCTAGCCAGAATATAATGGGAATTTTATAATCTTGTTTGACATTTATAGAGACTTAAGATAATAATTCAATGTATTCTTATCAATTGTACTGAATTCTGTACAAATGAGATAATACCTTGAGAAACCCTTTGTATTGCATTCCATTTACACAGGCATATCCTGATAATCGTCTGCTATATGTGACAGGGACAAAAACCTATCTTTCCCGTTTTTTGTGCTATTTGCACTGAAAAAATGGAAATACATAAATATGTTACTTCAAGAAAAGGTAAATAAGTTGGATACATTAAATTCCCAATTCTCCAATGTTACTGATATGCAACGTTTCGCGGCATGTGAATAATTACTGCAAATCAATTTTTATTAGCGAGAACTTTATTTTTTTCGCGAAAATACGCTAGACAGTGAGCACGCGAAAATTTCATTCTCGCGTATAATAGTATTCCTGATTATATAGAGATATATTAATAATTCGTGAAAATTATGTCTCGCCTATGAAGAGTCAATGACTATTTCGCGAAATTAAGTTGCCGCGAAAATAAAATGATCTACAGTATTATTGGTCCTATCGACTGTGTTTCCTGTACCAGTAAATATTCTACCAAATCTTTTTTTGACTCCCCTCTGGAATATTAGCAGTGATGAATGAGAAACTTTAGATATACAACAATATTAAATGATGTAAATCAGGTGTGGATACTTCAAAAAGTACTGTTCCATTTTTGTTGAAATAGCAGCTCTCAATAACAAAGTCAACTTGCTTTTATATTTTTTTTTCGTTTTATAAATTTTGGTATACGAAATACGTTTTTTGTCCAGTGAAATAACATATTCAGAGGTAGGAATAAAATTGCTTGAATAGGTATTTCGAGTCATTATACAGATTCAAAACAAAATCACGTTCCTTTCGTTCATTTACGGCATGAACACAGCCATGAACATGTACATGATATCACATATTTTACGACATAAACTTTACTATAGAGAGATGAGAAAAAGTTCTTATTGTCAGGAATTGCCATAAGATCAGTAAAAAGATTTCAAATGTGATGAGTTTTAACAAGGCATATAGTGCAAATAATCTGCTTAAAAAATGGTCGTTTAATGAGAAATATATGTGGCAAATATCAGAAAAATAATGTAAATAAAAGATATAAATTTAGTTTTTCATATTCTTCATGAGAATTTATGAGACATATGGGATCCATGAGAACTCATTAGATACATGAACTAAAACGCTTCAGGCCTGTATATCTACGATTATCTTACGCGTTTTCTGAAATATGCAGGCCTGAAGCGTCGTAGTCCATGTCCTTTTATTTCTTTTTTTCAAAAATTAAATTTTCTTAACGTACTTCAAATATATCATTTTTTTCCAGTTTGTATCCTGTAGATTTTTTAAAAGTTAAAACCTTAAAAGATTATATTTTTGTAGGAATGAAGGTTATTTGTACGTGTTTACTTTTGTCAATATATCATTATGAAGGTAAGTATATTCATATAAGTACAATTACATTTAATGAGTGCATAAATATAAATTGCATTATTTATGCTTCATATGTAAAGAAACTGGCTTGGAAAATGTGGTGATAATTCAAAGCCATGTTAATTGTTGCATTCGATTGATATTTTTTCTGGCTTGGAATTTTTCAGTCACAAATTGTCTTCAAATATGTTTTGTGTGCAGTCATGTAAAGGATTTTGCATCCTGCCAACAAAATGTACGAATCTGTTCACTGGGAGAGGTAATTATAACATTCAGTATATAATGATACTAACTTTAATATCACAAAGAACTACTTTTAATGGAAAACAGTCCTTTACAATAATTGTTACATTTAAAAAAAAAATTAAATGGTGCTTCAGTGAATTGTATTAATTATTATAATAAGTTTCAATTTATCTCTAAAGACATATTTCCATCTGAACTCAATTGAAATAATGGTTCTTATTTCGAGATCTAATGCATGTATTATTAAGAAACCACAAACCGAGAAAATGTATTTTTTATTCAAATTGTTTTGAAAAATTTTGTGATCCATTCTCATCTTATTTAAGTAATTTCTTCATTAATCCAAGTTTTAAAAATTACAAAAAATGAAAAAAAAAAATGTAAACTTGCTACACGTCCAAATAATACAATAGAAGCAAAAAGAGCTACGTACTTTTCTAGCAATTTAACAATTAAAAGGGAAGAATTCAAATCTGTGCGATTCGGGGATTTGGAATTGCCTGTAAATATTTATTCTATCTAAGTTCTTTATTTTTGGGTGGAAGATTGTTTGCTTGAGAATGTTTTCACCCTTGTTTGTGGAAACATCAGCAGGACTCTTCTTGGTCAGTAACCAGTTTAAATACTTTTATGTTCCAGTCATACGGCATCACATAGCGTCGATGCCATGCATCTGAATTGAGCCCCTGGTTAAAGGATTAATTTATTGTTTTATCAATAAAGAATAATTCAATATCCTAGACAGTCCTAGTAAAACTGATGTGATTATCTCTTAATATTTCGTACAAACGGTTACGTATGAGAACAATTTGTCAGACACACACAAAACATCATCTCAATCGATCACTTCTGTATTTCAGGTAAGAATATGCGGCACAGTCCCAATAATTTGAACTTGATTTTTAAATAATCACAGTTGCGAAAAAACAGAATGCCCAATTGAACCTAATCCTTTATATGTACAAGCAATGTATGAAAAAAAACAAGATATTAAAATGTTTACTTCCTGGATGTTCCTTTTTCTTTTCCTCTAATGCTTACATTAAGGAATTGCAATATAAAATATCCCTACCTCTTTAATCTGTATAGTTGCTATCTATATCAAGTCCAGTGGATATACATTTTGAATACAACATATTGGTTTTCTATATATTTCACTATAAGAACACTCTTTTTATCTAGGTTTGCTTTACGTCAGAAACCTTCAATAACAATGGTTTTCTGGTTTACAACTCAGGCTGTGTGTCTAAGCAGGTAATGTTAAGTTAAGGTATGCTTACTCCTCTATGGCAACTGATCGCACATCTGCTCTAAATCTGTTGCTGTTTCAATGGACCTTTGAAGTTGATTTCTGTTCGTTTTCTCCATATTTTTCATTTACTGTATATTTACAAACCTGTTTTTATGCATATCAATTCAAATTTTAATATTAGGACATTACTTATTTATAATTTATCCTCTCTTTTATCGTTTGATCAATTAGATATGTGATACTATCAATGGTCTTGATGGGACAGTTAAGCACACCACACATGCACCAGTGATGATTGGTAATATCTTAGGCAAACGAAATTTAAACACATGCTTTCGTTGTTGTGCCAATGACGGAGATATGTATCGCCCATGTAACATGAATCAGTGCAGCATGCAAGGTTAATATATCAAACGTTCACATAAACATACATGGTACATGTATCTTAAGCATATTGACTTATAATGACATGTATCAACTTGAATTTATATATACTTTTGATAAAAGCAAATAATCTAGCTCTATGGTGGTCATCTTTATATTTTATCCAGTAACGTGCAGCTCTGTAGTTATGGTGGGAGACAATTGATCTTCCATGCACATAGTATCAAAATGTATTTCATACATCTTTATTATTTCTTACTATCTTGAGTGCATTAGCTTCATGAAAGTTATAAGCCACACGGTGTTTCTTCTGATTTCACCTACGTTCCGAGAAACTTTGTTTTGAATAGTTCAAAAATTTACAAGAGAATCCTACTTATTTAGTGATTACATAGTCTACAACAGGATATACTTCAATTACTGTAGCCATTTCTTTAACGACCATTGTCGCTTCAACTAGAACCCTACCATCTAAAGCCCATACTAATTCACCCAAAACAACGGCCACTTCACCCACAACCACGCCCAACTCGACCGCAACCACGCCCACCTCGACGATAACCATGTCCACCTCGACCACAACCACGCCCACTTCGACAACGACAACGCCCACTTCGACCACGACAACGCCCACTTCGACCACCACAACTCCCACTTCGACAACGACAACGCCAACCTCGACCACAACCACACCCACTTCGACCACGACAACGCCCACTTCGACCACAACGATACCAATTACAACATCCACTTCATCCACACCAAGTAAATAAGTATTATACTCAGCAACAAATTTAGTTTATCTTTGATTTTACGATTGAGCGTCTACTGCAAATAAATTTCAACTTAAATACAATGAAAGATTTATTTTTGTATGTGGAAAAGTTAGATCAGTATTGTCGCATCACATGTACATATTCATGTATTGTCTGTGTTATATTATGGTTGCTTGTGTTTAATACAATATTGATTGGTTGTTTTGATTCTTATAGCTTCCTGTTATCTGTGTAATGGAATGCCGATATATATATGTGAACAGTTTTCTACACCGTTACAATGTGCCACTCCGGACCAACAGTTTTGTTTAAATATATTGGTTAACAGAAGAGATGGCTCCAGAACACTGGATAGAAGGTTTATTATTTGCTTATGAAATGTGAAAATGGTAATTTTTCTTTGGAAAGTTAGTTCCTTAACGTCACTTATAAAATTTACACTCATATTGAAATGCCACAACTGCTGCTGAAGGGCAAGAAATTTTGACCTGTTCTCGGCATCTAAGTTAGTTGTTTAATAAAATTGATCCTGGGCTTTTGATCAAATTTTGGTCTGGACCTTCAGGACGTTGAATCATGATATTAAAAGTCTTAAACGTTTTTTGCCAAGTATATTTTTAGTACTACATACAAAGCTTAATCAAAATTCAAATTAAAACAAGAGGGTCAATATGCTTCTTTTGGCGCTACAGTACATTTAATATGACCTTTTTGCACTGAAATTTGTGTCTTAATTAAAAATTACATGATACAGTTAAAACATGAAACAAAATGATTTCTAAGTCTATTTGAAAAATACACTTTAAAATCGTGACTAAGAAACAATTTGAAAATGCTTCGCATAATCAATTATTTGACCTTTCTGCACTAAAAAAGTGCTTCTGGCATTGAAAATTTGATCAGCAAGATAATTATTTTAAAGTCTTGAACTTTTTTCTGAATTTAAGCAGATAGGTCGAAGTTATCTTAAATATTCAGAAAAGAGCATCAAAAGTGGGGGTATATGGTGTAAAGTTTTAGATATTACTAAAAAAAAAAGTCAATTTATGTCAAAATTTGCTTTTTTTCCCTGGATTTTCAAAATATATTTTACTTTAATTGTCACACTTCGTTAAAAGAATTCATAAGAAATAATTAAATAGATATTTCAGAATCAACATAACGTCATTTCAATGCATAAAAAGAGCCTTGTGTGCAACCAGCATGGACAAATAGGAATCTAAAATTAAAAGTACTTTTATTGTTCAATAGGCAAAAACTGATCATTTTTCTTCTGAAAAAAACTTCCGCCACAAAATATAGTTCCTAGCTTAATTCTACTTGAATGGAATTTAATTGCAGATTTTTCAGTGAATACATTTCACTTAGCATTGTAAAATTCAATGTTAGAAGGTAAAAATGATGCAGAATTTTATAAATAAAATCCGCTCAAGGACCGGGTTTGATTCTCGTTTGAGGCGCTGCGTCAAACATAAGACGTAAGCATATAGCTAGTGACTGTTCCTTCGCCAAGCGCCAAGCGAAGTGAAAGTCGCGAGATCACGAAGCGAACACTCTAGCACTAGGCAACCCTAATAGGTCACAAACGTTGAAATAACCATGCACATGATTCGTGGTAATCTAGAAAAGTTTTGATATATTGAATTCTCGCTTCTTTTATTTTTACAGATGTGTCACTGAACAAGAATGCCGAAAAGAATGGTGGGAGAAAACATCCGACAGACAGGAATGCAGCGGATACAATCCGAGCAGCTACACTGCAATGGAATTCACGTGCTCATTTTGTTGTTCCGGTTCTCAGTGTAACAAAAACATTATTCCAGATAACTTGTACGCTCCATCTAAAATATAACATAATTGTTTAAAATAAGAATTATCTCAGTGTTGTTTGTGTAACTATCGAGCCCCCTATTTCGAAGGGTTTTAATGTTACAAGATAACGATTATTAAGATTATTCTTATCTGTCCGAAAAGCTTACGAGGTACCACTTGAAAGGACCACGAAACTTTGCTTTGAGTTTAATTTGGAGTTAAAGAACAATAAAAAATGGTGCATAGATGTTTTTGTTCGTACGATATTCAATTTGAAGTACAATCTTTTAGAAAACTGCCATAGTAACCTTGCTCCTTTGACAGTGACGAAATATAAGACTATAGATTCTATGCCTGAATTTTTGCTACTATTGTGAAACAACTTTAAGAAGAGAGGGTATTTAAATAAAATACATAAAAATAAATGAATAAAAATATAATTAATCAAATATGAGAAAGAAATCAAATTAAATAAAAGAAAAAAATAATACTAGTACTTCAAAGACTTTTCAGTCAATGATACTTGTGTACATTGGAATAGTTCAGGATCATGCATTTTCCAAAAAGAAAAAAAAAAGGGAAAATAATATATATATATATATATATATATATATATATATATATATATATATATATATATATATATATATATATATATATATATATATATATATATATATATATACATGTACGAGGGTCGTTAGAAAAGTTCGCTGACACATTGAATGACAGAAAATCTATTGTGTACTGTGAAGTATGACCTATGTCTGAATAAATTCCTACATTTTGTTTATTGGTATGTACAAAGTCTGGTTCATATAATAAAATCTTGAAAATTTACAACGGTTTTTACTATGAGGTCATGGGATTAATGGAGCAATCACTTGACGTAAGGCCACGTGACAACCAGATTTCAACCCATTAAGCTTTGTCGTAGTTCTATAAATTTTTCATTTCTTCAGATTTTTCTTATCTTTTTTTTACTTTAAAATTGAATATCTATATAAAGACATGTTACTTTTATTCTGTAATGTCTTTGTACTGATTCAAATATTATTGAGATCTGAAAAAATCTATGCAGTTAATCAGTTAATCGATCAGGTATGGAAACTATGCAAAACCATATAGGCGCAACGCAACGTCCATGCGATACGGGGGTATTGAAGTATCGATGGAGTTAATCAATCAAAATGTTAGACCTTCCACTTTTATTACGAAATTACAATCATTTGAAAACTTGTCCTTTGTAGGAGTAGGAAATAACCGGCAGCATCTTGAACATTTTAATCTCTTTTTAGACATTTTCCAGTCTGCACACATAATTTCTACGTAGTGCAGTGCTCTATGACGCTCAATGATGTTCCGATTTTTGGCCGTGTTTTTACGCGTTGATCATTTATAAACGGCTACAAAACAGTCATATACCCTCCAATTTAGTTCAAAATTTCTCCCAGTCACGTTCCAAGAATACTTCAGCGGCAGATAAAATATCATAAATCTCTTTTTGCTACAATTGTGCAATTTTTGATTATAAAAAAGAGTCTTTGTGATGCGAACGTGCCAAAATGTAGCATGCTCCGTATTCAGCAAGTTTTATCAAAATAAAGAAGCTGTATATTTTTAAATAATCACCGGAGAGAACCAAATTCTTGTACATTTATTGGAAAAACTATCTGGAAAGTTGGATCGGTTTTGTGGAAATATCTCGCTCACAATAGAACTTGTCCACGAACTTTTCTAACACCCTCGTATAATAAAATGTATATATATCTTTTTATACATTTTTTTTATGTACATTCTAAATTTGCAAGTCGGCCGTTGAGGTTCTGCTACTGGCTGAAGCAGATTACATGACCTAAAACAAAGCCTCATGATCCTCACATGAAAGGCAATGCATATGTGGATCATACGTGACTAAATTGCCTAGTATGTACGTTTACGTTGTTGCCATTCACATCACACAAAATTGCTGGAATATAGATGAATTACTAGCTATAGTATATTAAGGACCTTTTAATTAAAAAAACATTTTAAGTCAAAGGTTATGATACTTTAACCCCTTCTCTGCATTCACGCATTTGAACGCACGCCAGATACTCTTTCCTATTTTTTACCAAAAATCACGCATGTACCATTTCCTTGCAATCTAGCATTTATCATACACTTTAAAAAGTACATTTAATCTTCTATTTAATTCCAATTTCTTTCTAATTTATACTTGCTAAAATCACTTTAAATAAGAAATTTAAACTTATTTTCTAAATTTTAGAGAAAATTGTACTGCGCTGTAAAGTGCTTGCAGGGAAATGGTCACATCATATAAAATCGTAAATTGCATTGCAGTGTAGCTGCTGGGATTGTATTCGATGCACTCCTGTCTGTCGGGTGTTTTCTCCCACCATTCTTTTCGGCATTCGTGTTCAGTGACACATCTTTAAAAAGGCGAAAATTCAATATATAAACATGTTTCTAGATTACTATGAATATCTGCATGGTTATTTTAATGTTTGTGACCGGTCACGGTAGCCTAGTGGCTGTTCAAAATGGCCCTGAGTTTAGGCCTACATTTGAAGCCCTTCACCGGCACACGGTGTCGTCTCTATCTATATGAGTGAAAAAATCTCGAAGTGGACATTAAATTATATACATTAACGTTTGCAAATTTGATTGATACTCTGATTGCTTGTTGTTTAAATCTAACGTCTCTCTCGAGAATTTTTCATAAAATGGAGACGCAACCACTTGCCAGTGGATAGATAGAAATTTTGTCCTATGCTCGGCTTACCGCCATTGAACAGAAATGCTTTTATCCGTGCCAGCCCCTATTACGAAACGGGACCTCGCTTTATACGGTTCGAAGAACCGGTCTCTATGCACGTCCAACAATGGTATTCGAACTTGCGACGTAAGAATTAAATCCTTACTCCGCGACTCTAGAGCGAATGCTCTAACCTCTGCACGACGCCGACGACAAGTTTTTTTCGAAGGTATATTTGTACACAGCTATAAAGAGTTAGATTTGGCATATATATAGTAGCATCCACAAGTCAAGTAACGTCATTACGTAACAATTTGTGACTCTTACCAAAACAATGCTTTTTCAAACCCCAAATCTTACTGTTTTTTTTTTCTCTCTCAATGATTATTTCAAGAATAAAGATATGAAAAAGATTATGAAAAAAATTATCAAAATTTGTTAAATATATTTCATTACTTTTATTTCTCTTTACCTCTCTTAATTTACATCAATCGAAAAATGTGTTTGAATGCAAAACTTACACTTAAAATATAGGAGGAAGTAATAGTCGTGTTTTTTTCATTCCGCTGTTTCCAGGACAAATGTGCGTGAGATTTTGCTAAATAAAAACAGACGCTGGAGAATTAACAGAACAAAGTTATACCAAATAATCCATTACAGATGCAAATATTACCATGACAGAAGACTGCATAAAGCAAGCACTACTTTGCAGCACTCTATTTTTAGTAACAACTCATGACTAGAAAACCAAAATTTTATATTTTCTTTTTCTACTCTCCATATGCTTTAAGACAGTAAATATAATACATGAGGTAAATATTAAATACAAAAACTGACTTGTGGATAGTATAATCATATAAATATTCCATAAGTGTTTTTCTCCATATGTTATATCCTTAGTAGGCTCTTCGATAAAAGGTATTTAAAATTGATCCGTGATTTATTCTTTCCTTTCTGGTATGCAAACAAAAATCCCATATTTATGCAATTTTATTCTGTCACACATTCTTCTACAGAAATTGTCTTATATATTAAATATGACGTATTCAACAGAGTTGGCACATGCGAGGACAAAGTTTTGACTGCACCGGATCGAGACAAGCATTGATAATAAAATCAAACTCAACACAGCGTGGGTCTTTGTCTACACACGCCGGGGTAGTTGTAGGTGCCAATGTTGTTGTTGTCGCCTCTGTAGTTGTCAGAATTGCTGTCGTCGTTGGAGCCTGTGTTGTTGTTTCCGCCGAACAGAGGCCACATATTTTCGGACAAGTTTTGGACTTTTCACTATCGAGGCATGCAGTCATAATAAATTCGAATTCCACACAGCGTGGGTCAGTGTCCTCACAAACATTTGCTGTGGTTGTTGTTGTTGTTGTTGTTGTTGTTGTTGTTGGGATTGTTGTGATGGGTAAGGAAGGAGTTGCCAAAGGCGTTGTTGCTACAGAACATAATCCACACATCTGTGGACAGAGAGTCGCTTGTGTTGGGTCTAGGCATGCTGATATTATAAAATCAAACTCAAAACATCTTGGATCTGTATCGTGACAAGGAGATGGTGACGTCATCGGAGGGAGTGACGTAGGACTTGATGTGGATGTTTGATATATTGAACAGGTTTTACAGGTCACTGGGCAAACTTTTGATTGTTCTGAGTCAAGGCAAGCAGTCATTATGAAATCGAAATTTGTACATCTAGGATCAGACTCGCAACAACCATCTTGGCATACCGACTGTGACGTAATAACTGTAATAATAAGTGTATATTCTATACATGAACATATTCAGAACCAATAAATGTTAGATACAGCGCTAAAATCAGATTTTAATCCAACATTTAATATTATTAAAAATAATATTGAGTTTGCAAACGTCTTTAAGAATATTTGACAAAAAATCTAGTTTCTTACCTTTAAGAAAAAGAAAAGACACAACAATTACCAACATCTGAGAAAAAAAATATAAAGGTTTATATAACATATTGAGACTTAATCTAAACATTGACGTAGAGTTTTTTTGTGGAACATAAAAATTAGAAGGTTAGTGTTTATGTGATATGCGAATTAGGTGTCATACCTTAGTTGTAAAAGCGAAGCTGAATGAAATAAAACATCTCAAACTTTTTTTTTTTACAAAAGTAAAAATGATTGTAAAAAAAAAAATCTTAGGGAAAGGGAATATTTTTTTAATTTATAAAAAAAGATTCAATACATATTTTATAAAACTGGGGCCTGTGTGTTTGCTCTGAAGTTTTATTATGTTTACGTGTAACCGAAATATTAATTTTAAATACAAAATTGTTCATTTAATATTATGAATGATTGAATTTGATCATTCGTTAATTCGTTAAGCATCATAGATCAGACAATAAAAATATTTTACTTTCTGTTAAAAATAATACTAGCAGTAGTATTTGCTGGTTGCTTATTTTTAGAATATAGAGGAGCATAATAGTTAAAAATTATATAGCTGTATTTAAAGAAAATACGAAATTCAATTGCAAATAATAGTAACTTGATTGCAAATATAAAAGACAAACCGTCAAAAATAGCATTGCAACATATCTTTAAGGAATCAAGTATCGTTCAATTCAAAAAATAAAAAGAAATTAGGATATTACACATGCAAAGATATTACTAGTATTATTTTCTCAAACAAGGTTCGTACAGATTATTTTTTATCAATAATTAAGAAATAAATTTGGTCTTTACACTGAGATTCTTGAAAAAGAAAGATTTAATATTATATGAAGAAATACAAAAATCCTTAAATTATATAATGATAAAATATCATATATAGAAATGGTTTCCAGTTTATATTGAATATCTAATAATTTTGTTGTTGAATTAAGAAATAGGATATTTAATGTTTGTCATTGAATATGGAATTTTTTTCATGAGTGGGACAGTTTTTTTATATATATTCACGAGTGTGAAGCACGAGTAAAATATCAAACAATCCTGACTCACGAGTGAAATAAATTCTATAATCAGCGACAAAACATTGAAATTTCTGTTTGTTACATTTTCTTTGATTTTCCTTTGCATATTTGTCTTTTTTGTATATACAGTCATAGGTTACATGATGTCATATATGAGCGTTTGAGACGTCATGGCGTGATACGAATTTGAAAACATTGTAAACATGGATTTTAGCAAAATATTTGGGGAACTTTGGCAGTCTCATTCTCTGTCAGAATGATATATTTACTATCTACAGTGGACCTTCAGATATCCGGACGCCAGATATCCGGATGCTTCAGTATCCGGACGCTTTTTCATTGGACCAGAATTTCAAAATGTTATTATGTCTTGTATAAGTTGTGATTCACGTATCCGGACGCTTCACATATCTGGACAAATTGACTGGGAAACAAAGCGTCCGGATAAATTAGGCTCCACTGTATATATATTATAACATTCAAAGAAATAATTTCACAACACTCTTCGTTAAGGGAAGGTAAATCGAGAGTTTTACCGCACTTCTGATATTTGTCACATTTTGATATTATTTCGATATCCTTTCTCACTGTCCAAGAATATCACTTATATTCGATGAATAAATAACATTATTTCACTGTTGAAAATGTAATAAAGTTTATTAATAACTACAATCATATACCCATAAACAAAGTGTTTTAAAATTCATTACATTTTCTAGATTATGGAGAATGTCAAAGAACTATATTGCATATTCGGATCATACATAGAATAAGCTGTAAATTTATGAAGTTTCGCATTAATTATAAATGGTTTTACTGCATAAATAAAATACATGTATATTTATATATTTACATTCAGTGTAATTTTCTTTCTGAAATCCATTAGAAATCCATGACGTTCAAATCTCTATAACACTCGCGAAACCTAGTCAACGTGCGTTAGAATACACGGTAGGAACAGTCAACTGTATGCATTTTCAATACTTTATAAACACCAAACTGTACATTGTTTGACCCAATTTAATTTTTAAAAAATTACCCTGTCGAATTAACGTAAAAATATAACAAATATGCATTTAAAATTAATATGCCTTTTTTTTCCTCGCAATGTTCGGTTGCGTTATTTAACTTTACTACGTCACAAACGTCACAAGCGGCTCTTACGTCTATAAAGCACACCAGTATTGAAGGGCGCTAAATTCACATCAAAGATTACCAAAATAAACAATTATGAAGAGGATAAGTTAAAGAATGTAAATATAAGTATTGAATTCATATTTTGGGATGTCTTCGGTCCTATAACACACCTGGTCTTGCATGCCGACAAATTGAATACCGCGCGTATTCAATTCGGCACGGCCAGGTGTGTTATAGGACTGAAGACATCCCAAAATATGAATTCAATGCTTAAAAAATTACATTTGCAAATGTTTTCTTTTATATACATGTAACACTACTGAAAGCAATGCGTATCTATAACGGTATAAATACAGGTAGGGGTCAAGAGGTCATAGATTTGCGTATGGATAATCATTTGACGTAATTTTTCAGTGACGTCATAAAGGGTCGACGCGCGATCAGTGGATTATAATACTTGCCGTTGGATTTGAAAAACAATGCATTTCACACGTTATAATTCACAATCAGACAAATATAGTATGAGTAAGTCACAAATGTAAAAAAAAGTAATAAGGTATCATTTTAAAACATCTATCGGGCTATAAATACGGATTGGTACGAGATTAAACTCATCATAAAGCCCTTTGGGCTTTATGGAATTTAATCTCGTGACCAACCCGCATTTATATCCCGATAGATGTTTAAAAATGATACCTTATTTCTTAAATAACAATTGGTAAAACTTATATTTCTTTTTTTAAATGATGTTGTATCAAAAGCTGTTGCTACCAAAGGCACTACCAAGCTTCATTGTTAAAAAATATACTTTAGTATGTAGATATATTTTTAAGGGATCAAGTGTGGAAATACCTTTAATTGTTACAAAGATTTTTGACACAATAAAGCTTGAGTAGTTTCGAGTGCTGATAGAAAACAAAATACTAGTAGGGAGAAACAGAAATATTTTTAAATGCTGAGAAGAGCATTTACTGTTATATTTGTTTAAGTCTACAGCAAAGAAATAAAATTACCTTAGTTCTGCTCAAGTGGGGGCTTCGTGACTCTTCGTGGTCATATAGGGTTAAATGAAGATAATGAAAAGTCGGTCACTCTTTCATTGAGGTTAAGTATATGTCAATAGACTTCAAACATATCGGTGGATCTAAAGCATTAACTGTACATTCTAAGCTGTAGTTGTTTTTTGTTTGTTGATTAATTCCCCTCTCAAGAATATTAATTTCACTCATATGGAGACGCCATTAAAAGTGATCTGCAAATCTATAACTATATGCTCGGCACTCATGGTCATTGAGCATTGGGGGATATTTTCGTGCAAGCACTTACAGCAACACTGTTCTTTGGTTTATACGGTCTAATCGGATGAACTAGACTCTGTGTCCCGCAATGGATATAAACCTGCCACATTAGAATCAACTCCTTACTCGACGACTTCTAAAGAACTGACGCTCTATCCACTGCACCACGCAGGCGTTCTTTAACTACTTTTTACGTCAATTTTAAACTTAATAACGAAATCTTTCACAATGTCAATCTATGCAAAGTCTTTAAAAATGTTGCACAGTAAAATAATTTTGTAATTTTACCTAAAGGCAATAGAGCTTGAGTTTTTATTAAAAAAAATATTATTCGGTATCTCAAGATTTATACCAAAACAACGGATTGGTAAAGCAAGATACAGACAGGTAATTAAAAATTCCGACTTGTCGTTAATTTAATAAAATTGTCAGGAAAGGTGATTCAATACGTTAGAATAAACGTTTGCATTTTGTTTGGCTCAGATGATTTTTGACAGAATTTTTTATAGTCGTGTTTACGATCGGATTCGTGTTGCATTAAATCAATGTTCCACACTAGATAAGTTGTCATGATTAAAATTATTTATTTGAAACTTGCTGGATAGCTTAATGGTGACAAACCACTAATCAAATTTGGTTATTTAAGTATAAATTTTTAGCGGGGGGGGGGGGGGGGTTGTTACAACGCACTTTGGAAAATTGTGCACTTTGAAAAAATTTCAAAGTGCGTTAAATGTGGGACCAAGCTATAACGCACTTTGAAAAAATTAATTTTTTTTCAAAGTGCGTTGATATCGACCATATTGCACACTTTGAAAAAAATGCAGATTGGTCAATATTCTTACAGATCCTGGATGGATATCGATGACTTTTTTATAATGAAGTCACTTCAGGTCCTGAGAAGTTGACGTTTTAAATATTTGAGGTTTTGATAAAATAAAAGGGAAAAGGGTCTTGAAAAAAAGAGTGACGATTGTTTAAGATCATTAATTTTTTTTCTTTAAATTCTAGTCTTTGATAAGTACGAGGGTTGTCCCGTAAAATCGTGGACAAAGCGTTTTTCTCCAAAAGTAATGGGCAAACTAAGCTGAAAATTTCAGTAAATGTTTATTTATCATATTTAAGTGCATGATAATTTTTTTTGATAAAATATAGGCAAAAATAAAGATTTTATTATGCTTGAATGTGCACGAGGTATTGTCCTACGGCGCACGGTCAAAAAACCAAGGGTTTATTAAAGAATACACAAGTTTGAATTCTAAATAAAAGTTTTAAATACATAAGATTTGGATTAGAATTATCCTAATTCAATTCCAAAATCAATTTTGTGGTCTTTGTAAAACTGTTAAGGCATTTGCTTAATTTTTGGCGCTTAATGACGTTACTGTGCACCGGAGAACAGTTCAGTATTATATCCTGCATGTTGTAATGACACCTTTAAAGACTTGAAATGACCATAGAAAAAAAAATATCATGAAATTATCACCATATCTTCAGTATACAAATGAAATAGGAGTTTTCTTAGCGAAGTTTTTTCTGATCGAGTTCCTGGGGAGTACAAAACATACGGACAAACTCCTCATGTAATAGCAAAAAACGCTGTCACAGTAGACGGCCGATATGAGATTTTTTATTAGTTGAATGATGATGAGAATATTGTCCGTAACTTACTAATAAATCTTCAGAAGATCGCATGAGGGTGCCAATTGGTTTTTCGGCTGTTTATGGAGACTAAAGAATGTGTATCAATGTAATTCCTTATTCAAGTCGTACTCATCTAACTTCATTTTCAGCAAAGATAAAACGTGACGCTGTTTTAGACACTTTGACGTTATAATCCATGCGCCGTAAGGTGGTATAATACATGGCATAAAATCTCATAATTTGTTTATTTATGCATAATATTTATCTAAAATTTGCTGTGTTTATTACAAAAATATGTACTAAATAATAGTGGACATTTTAGAACGCCGTGATGTTTATTTTTCACACTAGACAACTTGTCCACGATTTTACGGGACAACCCTCGTATATGTAAAGATGTAAAGGGGGCAACAACAGTGGACAGTTTAAAGCAACTTAGCATTTATCATAATAGAAAGGGGGCAATTTGATTGTTCAAAACAATGAAATTTCTTTCTATCTCATACGTTTAACTGTACTTCATTATTTCTAGTTTTCACCGGTTTTATTAACTTATTAAATATTAAAAGTTTTCAACGTCATACCAGTTAGGTAAATACATAATTATATAAATGTTTTGAGTATAGCATAGACATCGAGCCCGGGCAATGGGCCAGGGAGGAGGGGCTTAGCCCCCCCCCCCCCCCACTTATTCTGGAAATATATATATACATCGTATAAGCATTGAAAATGCAGCTTACCCTTTTTGGGTTTATTGCTCCCCTCCCCCGTTTGTTACCGACACCTATGTATTCAAAAGATAAAGATTTGGACTGAGGGATCTTATACCTGTCTTCTCCTTTTTTGGACGGGAGTTAATCAATTCATAAGTTTTTTGAAAGATAGATAACAAATAAAATCTTTCCATTACTAAAATATGATTTAATTATTTTTTCAAAGTCGTTAAGTGTCTCCATGGTAAAATATATTGATGTAGACACTTAACGCACCTTGAAATATTTTTTCAAAGTGCGTTGAATTGGTCCCAAATTTAACGCACTTTGAAAAAAAATTTCAAAGTGCGTAATTTTTTTCAAAGTGCGTTGCCACAGGGGTGTCATAAAATGACATCCTAAAATGAAAAGGGGATTCCGCTAGGTGGAATGTCCTTCACTTTCATTCAGGTTTACCATTCTGGCTTACCTGAAGATTTCCACTTTCAGAAATATGGAATACAATTTCCATGATAGAAAATCAAAACTCCCAAGGGGTAAACCCAACTTTTATAAATCTTTTTGCAGATGCTAAGCTTTACAAGATAGCAGAATTCCATTCAAGGAATAGACCAACACTTGATCTTTCCCTTACCAACATAATTACTCTTGTGAAAAGCACAAAATAACTGCCAGGGATCAGACAAGATGATGCTGTTTTTACTGACAGACTTCAGAGACCTACTAATCGAAGGTTCTATATCAAGACCACGGTTGTCCATGGAAGTTTACAGGAAAGCTTGTCCCCATTAACTGATTTATTTGTTTGTTGGTTTACGCCCATTGCGAGATTTTTCTCTCATCTATAGGTTACATCGCTTGCCGGTGAAGAGCTACAAATCTTGACCTACACTCAGTATACAGGCCCCTTGTTCAGGGAGGGAACTTTTTCGTACCAACAAATACATGTACTGCAAAACGGATCCTCGAATTTACATCTCATCCGATGGACCGGTTTCCAAGTCCCACGGTGGATACGAACTTTCGACGTAAGGATTAATTCTTTATTCCGCACTTTAAAGCAGACGCTCTAAACACTGTGTCACCCGGGCCACCAATTCAGTGATGCTTTTACTGCCAACAGCTACAAAACGTATTCAAAAGACAACAGATGATAGTCATTCAAATGTAAAAAAAAAAAAAAGAAGAATACGATAGTGACGTGATGCAAACGGTACACTTTGCAGATATTGATATAAATTTGGTAATTGATAATATGGTAAGTTACACTCATATAGTATTATCATTGACCTAAACTCAAAGCAAAGGAATCACCAACTTCCTTGGGCTGCTCCAGCATATGTAGTACTTTTAAAGTGATGATTACTTTAGAAAAATGACGTTCAAGATATTATAGCTTTACATGAATTTAATAATTGCTTTTTCTCTAAACTTTTGAGTAAAACATTAAAAAGTTCATGACTTGAGAACGATTGGAGAGAATTTTTCCACGTAAAACACTGGAGAACGGCCTTTCACTCGCATGGC